ACAAGGCAAAGTTGTCCACTCTCTTCATAGCTATTCAATATAGTACTTGAAGTTCTAGCTAAAGCAATAAGACAACAAAAGAACATCTGTGGATATAAAGTGGAAAGGAAGAAGTCAAAGTATTTTTATTTTCAGATGATATGAGAGTATACATAAGCAACCTCAAAAACACTACCAGGGAACTCCAAAATCTGATAAACACTTTTGGTCAAAATGGCTGAATACAAGATTAACACAAAAAAAATCATTAGACATCTTATGTACAATTGATAAATGGACTGAGAAAGAAATCATAGAATCAACACATTTCACAATAGCCTCAAATAATATAAAGTATATTCGTTTAACTCTAATGAAGCAAGTGAAAAAAGTCTTCAGAAATAAATTGAAAAAGATATCAGAAGATGGAAATATTGACATGCTCATGGATCTGTAGGATTAAAATGGCTATCTTACCAAAACCAATCTATGGATTCAATGCAATCCCCATTTTGAATTTCAACACAATTCTTTACAGGAGTTGAAAGAACAATGGCCAAATACATATGCAAAAACAAAAACCCAGGGTACATGAAACAATCCTGTACAATAAAAGAACTTCTAAAGGTATCACCATCCCCGATGTCAAGCTCTACTACAGAGTTGTAGGTGGATCAATGGAATCAAATAAAAGACTCAGATGTAAATCCACAGACATACAGACACTTGATATTCAACAAAAATCCAAAATTACACAATGTACAAAAGAAAGTTTCTTCAACAAACAGTGCTGGCATAACTGGATGTCAGCATGAAGAAGATTGCAAAGGGATCCATATTTGTCACCCTGCACAAAACTCAAGTTCAAGTGGATCAAAGACCTCAACATAAATCCAGAACACTGAACCTGATAGAAGAGAAAGTGGGAAATAATCTCAAATGCATTGGCACAGGAGACAATTTCCTGAACCAAAAACCACTGGTACAGGCACTAAGATTGATAATTAATAAATGGAACTTCATGAAATTGAAAAGTTTCTGTAAGGCAAAAGACACTACCATAGGACACAATGACAGTCGACAGAATATGAAAATACCTCCTCCAACCCTATTATCTGACAGAGGGCTGATATCCAAAATATATAAAGAACTCAAGAAACTAGAAATAATAAACCAAATAATCCAGTTAAACTATGGGATACAAATCTAAACAGAATTCTCAACAAAAGAATATCAAATAGCCGAGAAACACACAAGGAGATGTTCAAAATCCTTAGCTATCAGGGAAATGCAAATCAAAATGACTCTGAGATTCCATCTTAGAATGGCTAAGATCAAAAACACAAGTGACAGCTTATGCTGGAGATGCTGTGGAATAAGGGGAACATTCCAATGCTGGTGGGAGTGTAAACTTGTATAGTCACTTTGGAAGTCAGTGTGGTGGTTTCTTAGAAACCTGAGTATCAACCTGCCACAAGGCCAAGCTATAATCTCTTGTGCATATACGAAAAGGATGCTCAATTGCACCACAAGGACACTTGCTCAGCTATGTTCATAGCAGAATTATTTGTAATAGCCAGAACCTGGAAACAACCTAGGTGCCCATCAAACAAAAAAATGGATAAGGAAAATGTGGTACTTTGCACAATGGAGGATTACTCAGCTGGTAAAAAATGACACTAGGAAATTTGAAGGCAAATGGATGGAACTAAGAGAAATCATCCTGAGTGAGGTAACCCAGACCAAGAAAGACAAACATGGTATGTACTCACTAACAAGTGGATGTTAGCTGTAAAATAAAAGATAACTATGCTATAATCCACAAACCCAGAGAGAGAGAGAGAGAGAGAGAGGGGGGGGGGGGGGGGGGGGGGGGGGGGGGGGGGGAGACACAGATTTCCCTGGGCAGGGAAAATAAAGATTTCATGAGTTGACTGAAATCAGGTGGAGATAGAAACATAAGCAATCAGGTTGAGAGGGAATGGTCACGGAGGGGAAGAGTGCTGAGGGTTAGTGCTGGAACTGAGGGCATTTTGGGTGGACTGGAAGCCTGGCTCAGGGTACTCTACCAGGTGTCTATAGGAAGGATACCAGCTTAGACTCCTAGCACTAGTGGATAAGTAGCCTGAACTGGTCACCTCCTGTGACCAGATTGGTTCCTGGCCCAATTGTCATCAGACTAGTACCATCCAGCAACTGATGGAGGCAGATCCAAATACCCACAGCCAAACATTAGGCAGAGTTCGGGAATCCTGCAGAGTTGGAGGACAAAGGAGTGTAAGACCCAGAAGAGTCAAGGATACCACAAGAAAACCCACAGAATTGACTAACCTGGATTCATAGAGATTCACAGAGACTGACCCAACAACCAGGGAGGCTGCATGGGATTGACCTGGGCACTCTGTATATATGTTACAGTTGTGTAGCTTGGTCTTTTTGTGGGACTCCTAACAGTGGGAACAGGACTGTCTTTGACTCTTTTACTGGCTTTTGGGACCTTACTCCTCATAATGGGTTGCCTTGCCCAGCCTTAACATATGGGGAAGTGCTTAGTCTTACTGCAACTTGATATGCCATATTTTGTTGATACTCATGAGAGACCTGACCTTTCCTGGATGGATACGGAGGAGGACAGGATTGGTAGGTGGGAGCAGGGGGTGGGATGGGAAGAAGGGGCTAGGAGGGGAGGATGGGGAAAGGATGCAACTGGGATGTAAAATAAATAGATAAGTAAAGAAAGGATAAAGGAAAATTTAAATCTAAAAAATTTTATGTATGCATATACATATGCATGAATACCATATATATGTATATATTTATGTATTTAAGTAAACATAAAATGTTTCCCTATGACTTTTTCAATCATTGTTATTGTCTTTTATCCCTCCTACCTCCCTATTAGCATCAGTACTGTTCCCACCGTTTTCTCATTTCTCCTTTCATAGCACATGTGTCTTAATACCCTCTTATTTAAATCACCTTCCCTGACCCAAAACTATGGTGTTTATAGGAAAATAAATACAACTTGAAGTAAAGTTAAACCAAAGAAGCCAGAATATGAAAGTCATATTCTGGTAAGCACAGACCACAACGATCCCTGGATAGTAGGCTTGCAAATTTTGCATAATTTTCTCTGCTGCACACTCACAATACGTGAGTTCTTACAACATATGCATCATTATCTCTGAAAGCACTAGAATTGAAGGTTAAAAGTAAAATCTCTGTATTAATGTAACTGTTCATATCCCTCCGTTCTTCTACTCAAGAACCCCCATCCTTTCTGACTTAGCACAAGTACTAGGCTGTGACACTGAAGAAAAAGAATACAATCCTTGAGATCAGGTCAAATCTGAGAGAAAATCTCCCTTTTGCTCATTACATTTGACTGTGTATAGGTTCCATGATGCATCTCTACATAAATTTCCTCTACCAGCAAAGGATGCACAAGAGCTCATTTTCAGAATGGGAATTTATTTAATTTAGTAAACTCAACAAAGTGTTTACTAAGTATATTGTGCATTTGGCTGTCTTTAGTTAACATGACATATAAAAGTCCTGCCTTTTTAAAAAACTACATTACAGAATGTAAAGTGACAAATGAGAGAGTCAGTATATGTCTGTCAAGTACAAGCACTACAAAGAAAAGAGAAGCAGTGTGAGACAATAGGTGATATAAAGGTATAGGAGTAAGTACATTAATATTAATCTTAGTACAGTGTCTGGATGAGTAAAAGATGAATAAAGTACCAGTTATTGCTACAGCTGTTATTGTGTGAATAATGTGGTTTGATTTTTTCTCACTTCCCAGTATTAAGATTTTTTCCCCATTTTTTATTTTTGATTTCTTTTTACATTTCAACCACAGTTCTCCCTCCCACTCCTCCTCCCACACCCTTGCTTTCTCCCGCCCTCCCTAACCTCCACCCTAGCCCATGCCCAGTCCACTCCTCAACATAGTCTGGTACAATAGGTTTGGGCAGGGCCTGGCCCCTCTCTCATACATAACAACGGAAGTTTCTTTGAGGGTCAGGATTGCCTAAGTGAAGACTAAATGGGAAAAAAAACACCTTAAAATTCTAGTAAGGTCGACTGAATGAAGTAGCCATAGCATGAAGTTCAAACAGCCAAGGGTTTAGTTCTGGACGAACACAAGCTTGAAAGACTTCCCTATGGTAACAAGGTCTCCTTTTATCGTTTGTACATCATCTATATGCAACTATCTCTTAGCAAGCATGCCTCTGTATGAACTCTCATTCTTCTCTGCACAAGTCTGTATCCATGGCCTCTTACATCTGGCCAAAGAAAAGGAAAGTATATATTAGGCATTACACACAGTGAAGCATTACTTTCTATTTTTGGAATTGCTCATGGTTTTAAAGTTAGTTGATTGAAGGTCATCATAAACCTGTAATTAGACTGTGAATGAAATTACTGTCACCTTGGGTCTGTGCAGCGGGATGATGATTTAGTTCGGGAGCATCTCTTCATTGTCTTTTTTCAATGTGAAACAAACTGGAAATTTCACCCTAATACAGCATAGTCACCGTAAGTCTAGTAAACTACAAATATGACCTTTCTTTCTCTTAAAAGAAATGAAAAATAGAACAGATGCCTTTACAAGAGCATCATAAGGAGTATTCATTTGATTGAAACATTTCTTGTCAGTAGAGATGAACTACTGCCAAAACTCAGTCAGCAAACTTTCCCAATATGAGATATGGGACATCCCCCCATAACAACCATGCCCCTAGGCTTGACAATTAATAAAAGTTTTCTGTGTAGAAAGCTTTCTGATATACACTTCGTACTATGAAGTACTCAGATGTCCCACCTCCCAGCCTATCCATTTGTGTTGAAGAGTGTGTGTTACTAGAACTACTGATGGAAATTACATACACCAGAACAATTTATCTTCCACAGACCTACCAGAAAGGAAAATATCCCTGTACCGGAATGAGCAGACTCAAAAGTCTGGAAAATCTAAGTCCAGAGATCACCACTGGCCTCAGAGAAAGTGAAGTACTAGCAGAATGCTGAACGATTTCCAAACTCCAGCTTTAGGCGGGGTGAAAGGCAAGAACCCCATGTGATTATTCAAAAATACAGAAGGAGGGACGAATGTGTGGTAAGACTAGCATTTTGGAAAAATATAGCTAAGTAAAGCAGAAACCAGCAGCCACCAGTGTTTCCAGTCTCTTCAGCATCAGGAGGATGGAAGAAAGAACAACATTGGCTCCACATAAGATGGAGATTTCATTAGTCCTACTGTTCCTGGGCCACCTAATGGTGCTCACCCACGGTAAGATAGCATACTGATGCCTGACTAACACTTCTTTTATTTTTTTTAGATTTTTTATTTAAATTAGAAACAAGCTTGCTTCACGTGTCAATCCCAGGTTCCTCTCCCGCCCCTCCTCCCCCAGCCCCCACCAACTCCCTCAAGAACCCACCCCATTGCCCCTCTGCTCTCCAGGGAGGGTGAGGCCTCCATGGGGGATCCCAAAAGTCTATTATATCATCCCAGACAGGACCTAGGCCCTCCCCCATGTGTCCAGGCTAAGAGAGCACCCCTCCATGTGGAATGGGCTCCCAAAGTCCATTCGTACACCAGGGATAAATACTGATCCACTACCCGAGGCCGCATAGATTGCCGAGGCCTCCATTGACACCTAAATACAGGGGGTTTGGGATCCACTACCCGAGGCCGCATAGATTGCCGAGGCCTCCATTGACACCTATGTTCAGGGGGTTTGTATCAGTCCCATGCAGGCCTCTCAGCCATCAGTCTGGGGTCCATGATCTCCCCTTTGTTCAGGTCAGCTGTTTCTGTGGTTTTCACCAGCCCAGGACATGGGGGATCAGGAAGGTTGAGTCGGGGGAAGAATAGAGGAGAGCAGGATGAGAGATACCATAATAGAGGGAGCCATTATAGGTTTGAGGAGAGATCTGGCACTAGGAAGATTTCCGGAGATCTACAAGAATGACACTAACTGTCAATCTAAGCAATAGTGGAGAGGCTACCTTAAATGCCCTTCCCTGATAATGAGATTGATGACTACCTTATATGCCATCTTGGAGCCTTCATCCAGTGGCTGATGGAAGCAGAGGCAGACACCCACAGCTAAACACTGAACTGACTACCACTTCTACCTCTGGCAGAGGATGTGGGTGTTGATGTGTTTACTGAAAAAAAAGCTTATTCCTAATAGTCAGTCATAGTTACTGTGACTGCAAGTTTTCTGAACTTTGTGCAAAAGGGAGGGAAGTCATTGAAATCTGGTAAAATTTCCAGAAGCTGCCTTGGGTAGAAATTGGAACACTTCTTTTGGAAAGTATCTGCATGATTTTCCAGAGTTTCAAGGATATCAGAAGTCTCCAGTGTCATGCAAACTTCCTATATTCTCCTTTTCCCTTGAAATTCTAATAATAACTAACTTCTCGTTTCCAAGTTTTGATTCTTGCTACAATATACAGCTCCCAACGAATAAATGTTTAGTAAGTAAGTGTGAGCATAGAAGAAACCTGTAGCCAGGGACAGTGGGGCACACATTTAATCCTAGCACTTAGAAGTCAGAGGCACTCTAATTGATCTCTGTGAATTCAAGGACACATTGGTCTATATAGAAAGCTTCGGGCTGTCTTATGCTACATAGTGAGACTCGGTTTCTAAATAAACAAATAAAAGTAGCATGTACTATCAATTATAATCATTTACAAGTGCTTAGCATTTGTTGTTCATACACTTTTAGAGTACAGACATTTACTAATTCCCACCAGACTCTATCCAGGAGCATTTCCAAATATTACTTGTGTTATACTAAATCCACCTCTCTGTTGTTTCTATCCAAGGACTTCTCACTATCAACCCAGAACACATATTCTTGCTTTTTCCAGGCCAGCACTTCAAATGTATGAAAAAGGAAGAAACTCTGTCCCCTCAATTCTCCTCTTCTCCAAGCTAAACATCTCTAAATTCTTCAACTAAAGGACTTGCTATATTACTTACTGCTGTGATAACTCACTACCTTATGGACATAGTAGCCCAGTTGCAGGAGCTGTTTGTGGGAATCTAATTCGAGATACACAGGGGCATTTCTGTGAATGTGAATCTTCCTCCACACTCATTAATAATTCAAGGAAACTAACTGCCTTTCAGGAAATTAAGCACATGTAAGAACTAAGTAGGACTCAGTATGGGGCAAAGGGATTCTTTCTCAATTTCTGATTTATCCATCTTTCTAGAGGGTAAGACTGGATCAATCATTACTTGAAGTATCTAGCAATAGTGTATTATGATTATTTGGGTTTTTTTTGTTTTTACCAAAGTTGGCCTGTCTAATGGCTAAAATATGCCATGTCTGTTCCAAGATTTCCTGATGATGGCAAAGCCCTTAGAGTCAAGTTCAGTGTCTCCATTAATAGACACTCCGGCACTTAGCAATATGTCCAGGAAGCTGGATAGCATAACCTCACTCTCTTCACAAGTCACTATATTCTACCTGCTTAACTGAATATATGTTAAATAAAAAATTATTTGGTAATACCTTCCATTTTGAAATTGCATCTACCAGGAAAGACATTGCCTAAACAACTCCTGTCCCCAGTTGAATAAAATACAAAATCATCAAGATATGAGCTTATGTATGAAAAATTCTAATAAAAGGCAATGGGCCCCCATCTTTTTTGTCTCTGGGCTCCTCTCTCCAGCCCAAGGAGAAATTTCCTTTGTTTCTACCACAATCACTAGCACAACCAACTCTAGAGATTAGCTCAGGTTCTTTTCTTTTCCAAACCAAGCATGGATGAAATCTTTGTCCCTCTCAGGATATATATTTCCAATATTTTCATAAGAACTAAAAGAAATGAAAAAAGAAAAAAGGAATAAGGATGAAAGATCAGCTAGCCTTACTTTCAAAGGACAAGTTTCAAAGCTAATAGCTAATGGTTTGGCTAAATAGGAATATGCACCCAGTCTCTTTTCTTCACCATTATATTCCCCTACTGATTATCTCTTTCACACTTGCAGAAAAGAACTTGAGTTTGTGTCCCAATCATTGAGTCTTTCTCTTGAATGAACAAAAAAGATAATAGAGCAGAGGGCTGTTTCAAGCATGTATCTACCCAAAATAAACTACTTCCGTTTCAACTCTTCACCATTCTTCCTACATCCCATTTGAAAACGGTGAAAGAAAAACTACAGACAAGTAAAATATCACAGAATCCCTAAAAATTAGTCTACTCTAAGTCTCTATATACTACTTGGGAAGAAAATTTGGTCCTTCGGTTTACTCAGAGTCACCTCCTTGTAAGACAGTGCCATAAAGGGGACCTGAAACCACTATAGTTTAAGAATGTTAAGGATTTCATCCCACAAACTGACTCAGATTGATGAGAAAGCTAACAGAATAGCCCCGGGATGATGAAAGAATGATAGAAGGAAAAGTGTTTCTTAGAAAGCTGTTGAGCCTGTCCCTCACACCCTCACTGGGGCGAACATGTCATCTGTGCTTGCTCATTTTCCTTTGTTCCCTGTCTTTAGGCCATCCCATCCTAAAAGCACCAGAGACTGTGATAGGGACCTGGAAAAGGGATTTGACACTTCCCTGCATCTATGTTCCCCTGAGAGGCTACAGTCAAGTTTTGGTGAAATGGCTGGTACAGCGTGGATCTGACCCAGTCACCATCTTCCTACGGGACTCCTCAGGAGACCATATCCAGCAGGCAAAGTACAGAGGCCGCCTAAAAGTGAGCCACAAGATTCCAGGGGATGTGTCTCTCCAACTGAATGTCCTACAGATGGATGATAGGAGTCACTACACATGTGAGGTCACCTGGCAGACCCCTGATGGAAACCAAGTGATGAGATACAAGATTATTGAGCTCCGTGTCCAGAAATGTAAGTCACAGTGAAAGCAAAGCCACAATAGAGTACTGTGATCCTAGTCACATCTCAGAAGTTTAGAGGCCTTGGTTTCTATGTATATAGGTTCTTTCTAGTTCTATGTGTGAATCACAGGATCCTCGAGGTCATCACCCCATTTGAGAATTTAAATAGTGTTGGGAAATGCATTACTTTTAAAAACCTCTCCCTCTGACACCCCATCTCTCCTATATTTAGAAAAGCCTTTCTGAGAGAGGTAGTTCCCCATTAGCTGCACTTCCCATTTTACCACAAAACTTTGCAAACTGAAATCAGCATTGTCCTCTGCATAACAAAAGCCCAACCTCTGTCCATTCACACACAACCATATAAAATTCTGTGCAGCGGCAGACCTTACTGCCAATGCTTCCTTCTTTTAACCACATTTCCTCGGGTTTTCTAGAGTTTGTGTGAGTGATTCTTCCTAGATTATTTGCTGGCTCATTTGCTAGCCAATACTTTAAGTGTTCTCAAAGTTGATATTACTGTTGCTGTACACCTAGAGTACTTTCACTTCACTCAGCTTGAATATTGTCATTTCTAATCTTTCATCTACAGGTTGTCTCTGTCGTCACTCTTTGAATTATTTCTTTCCCAGTACAGTAATTTTTAGTTGGATGTAATATAATGGGAATTTATAATTTTCCCCTCTGTGTGTTTTAGAGTTGTAACCGGGAAATCATTGTCTGTAATCATACCTTGAAGTGGCTTTTTATGCTGACTTCTAATAGATTCAGTGTTCCCAATCTCACGTTGATGCCTTTAATCCACTTTGGTTGATTTTTACACAGGGTAATAGAGGTCAGGTTTCAATCTTGATGATCCCCACTTTTCCCAGAACCATTTATTGAAAAGGTTTCTCTGATGTGATTTTGTACATAGACAAGCAATTAGTTGATTTTAGACATATCAGCTTATTTCTGGGATTTCTACTCTGTTTTACTGACCTATGTGTATTTGTATAGTAGTATTATGCTGGCTTTGGTAATTATACTTCTGTAATATGTCCCAAAGTCAGATATTGCAATGACTTCAGCCTTCTATGAGAATGGTGCATCAAAATACTTTAGTCATTTCAGAATTATATTTGACTAATTATTGTTGAGTTGTGAATATAGCTTATTTGCTTGGAATACTAGAGACTTTTAAATTATTTTATCATCATTATTATTGTTGTTGTTGTTTACATCCCAACTGCACTTTCCCCTCCCTCCTCTCCTTCCAGTCCTTCCCCCAACCTCCCCTCTTGTTCCCTGCCAATCCATTCCTCCTCCATTTCTATTAAAAAAAAGCAGGCCTCTCATGGATATCAACCAAGCATGGCATATCAAGTTGCAGTAAGACTAGGCATTTCCCCTCATATTAAGGTTGGACTAAGGCAAGCCAGTATAAGGAATAGTGTCCCAAGATCCAGCAAAAGAGTTAAAGACAGCCCCTGATCCCACTGTTATGAGTCCCACAAGAGGACCAAGCTACACAACTATCACATATATGGAGAGGGCCTAGGTAAGACCTATTGTGGCACCCTGATTATCACATCAGTCTCTGTGAGCCTCCATGAGCCCAGGTGAGTTGATTCTATGGGTTTTCTTCTGATGTCCTTGTTCCCTCTGACTCCTACAATCCTTCCTCCCCTTCTTCTACAAAATTGCCTAAGCTCTGCCTAATGTTTGGATGTGGGTCTTGCATCTGTTTCCATCAGTTGCAAGATGAAGCCTCCCTCTGATGACCATTGGGCTAGGCACCAATCTATGAGTATAGCAGAATATTGTTAGAATATTGTTAGGCATCATTTCATTGACTTATTTTCTAATCATGTTTAGTTCTATCCTAGGTCTCTAGGCCATCCAACCTCTGATTCCTGGCACTCCAGGCAGTGTCAGGGGTAGGCCCACTCATGTGGCATAGGTATCAAACTGGACCAGTCATTGGTTGGCCACTCTCACAATTTCTGAACCACCTTTACCCTACACAGCTTGTAGGCAGAACAAATTGTAAGTTGAAGGTTGTGTGGCTGGGTTAGTCTTATGAAATACGTTATTTGCAAGTATTTCCCCCCATTCTTGATGTTGTATGCACATGTACCATATTCATGTCTGTTGTCTGTAATGGTCAGAAGAAGGATAAAATGCTCTAGAACTGGAGTTATAGATGGTTGTAAGCCATCACATTGGTGCTGAGAACCAAACCCCAGGTCCTTTGCCAGAGCAGCCACTGCTCTAAAGGGTTAAGCCATCCCTCTGGCACAAAATGTTTTTTTTTTTTTTTTACTTTCATGATAGTAACCTTCAAGGCCCCAGAGTTTTTAATTTTGTTGAAGTCTAGTCTGTTTTTATAGGATGTCCCATCAGACACAGCATTCCATAACTTGCTCAAGGACTGGTAGAATTGAATAGTGAAGCTTTTTGACCCGATCTTTTCTTTCTAAGTAGTTGTTTAACTAGAAATTCAATATTTTTTTTACTCATTTAAATCCCATAATTTCAATTTTCCTGGCTTATCTTTAGAAGTTAACATCTACTTTATAAGATTTATTATTTTTATGTATGTGAGTGTTTTGCCTGCAGGCATGTGTGTCTTAGTTACTTTTCTACTGCATTGATAAAATATTATAACCAATGTATAAAGGAAAGAGTTTAATTGGGCTTACAGCTTCAAAGGGTTAGAGTCTATGATGCCAGAGCAAAGGCATAGCTGCAGGAACAATTAGAACTCACATCTTGATCTGAAAGCAGGAGACTGAAAGAGAGAACACTGGGAATGGCAGAAATCTTGATACTTCAAAGCCCACCTCAAGTGACACATTTCCTCCAATAAGGCCACGCCTGCTAATCCTTCCCAAACTGTTGCACCAACTGAGGACCACAGTTTCAAATATATGAACCTATAGGGTCTGTTTCCTTTCAAACCACCATAATATGTACAAAGTACCTGTCTGGTGCCTGTGGAGGACAGAAGAGCATACAGACTCCTTGGAACTTGGACTATATACAGTAACAGATGGCTATGTCAATGCTGGGAACCATACCCAGGTCCTCTACAGTAGCAAAAATAACTCTTAACCATTAATTCAACACTCCAGGCCCTACTTCTAACTTTATTTTATTCAGTTTGAGAACATGCTTAATATTTCAGATATTTTTAAAATTTACCGAGATTTGTTTTATACACAAAATATGGTCTGTATCAAATAATGTTCCATGTGTACTTAATAATAGTATCAACTCTACTATTATTATATGAAGTATTCTACATATGCCACTGTTGGTTAATAGTGTTGTTCAACCCTTGAATCTCCTTAATAATCTTCTTTATAGTTGTACACATTCTTTAAACTGGGATATTGAATTTAAATTTATTGGTAAATGGACCATTTCTCACCCCAATTTTATTAACTTTTTCTTCATGAATATCGGGGGCTCTGTTATTATCAGTGTATGCTTATAAATGAATTTTTCTCCTTCACAAAAAATAATTTTATGATTACAAATTGTTCTTCTTTGTACCTAGGGAAAAATTCTTAAATATAATTTGTCTTATACCAGTATATCTTGGCTTTATCTTGACAAATGACTGCATGGTCCATCTTTTGGCATTCCTTTACTTTAAAACTTTTTTCCTTTGAGTACTATAATATTGTTTTTGATCTTTTGACTTTTTGAGAGGCCCTCCAGAAAGCACCCAAATAAATCAAACATGGAGGCTCATTCTTAGTTGTGAATGTCTGGCCTTAGCTTGGCTTGTTTCTAGCCAGCTTTTCTTAAGTTATCCCATCTACATTTTCTCTCTGGGCTTTTATTTTTCTTACTTGTATATCTTACTTTTCTTCTTACTTTGTGCCTGGCTGGGTGGCTCGGTGACTGGCCTATGACATCCTTTTCTCCTTGATCTCTTGTTCCTTCTTCCTTTTCCTCATTCCTCCTTCTATTTATACACCCTACCTTCCAGAGCCACCTATCCTTGTTCCTGCCTCGCTATTGGCCATTGAGCTCTTTATTGGACCATCAGGTGTTTTAGACAGGCAAAGAATCACAGCCTCACAGTTAAACAAATGCAGCATAAACAAAAGCAGCACACCTTAAAATAATATTCTACCATAGAGTATTAAGCAAGTACATCATATAGTCAGATTTGATAATTTGAGACTCTCTGCCTTTAAATCTGAAATTTTCTACTCATATTTAATCTAATTATTAATAAAGTAGGATATATATCTGCCAATTTGATATGTGTATTCTTCATCCTTTATACTTATTTCTACATTCCTCCATTGGTTCTACCTTTGTTGCTTAATAGATCATTTCTAGTGTATTATATAGTTCAATTATTATTCACTTTTTTTTTTTACTGTGCTGGCTTGTTTTATGTCAGCTTCATACAAGCTAGAGTCGTTTTGGATGAAGCAACCTCAACTGAGAAAATACTCCCACTAGAGTGACTGTAAGCAAGCCTGTGGTGAATTCTTGGCTGATAATTGATGTGAGATGGCCCATTTTACCTCAGGCAGTACCCTCCACTAGGATGGTGGGCTTTGGTGCTATAAGGAAGCAGGCTGAGTAAACCATGGGGAGAATCCAATAAGCAACATTCCTCCATGGCTTCTGCTTCTGAAGTTCCTGCTTCTAGGTTCCTACCATGAGTCCCTGCCATGACTTCTCTAAGTAAAAGAGCATGACCTGAGGTTTGTAAGCTGAAACAAACTCTTTCTTCTCAGGTTGCTCTGGGTCACAGTGTTTTATCACAACCATAGTAATCTTAATTAAAACATTTACTAAGTATTTTCATTATTTCTGTCTGTGCAATATAATCAATTCTTAATTTATTGTATTTATTCCAATTCAATTTCATAGTATACAAGATGATGTTTGTATATAGCTCAATTTCTTATCATTTAATTCTATCATTACTGCGAATTACTTCTTAGTATATTATAATAGTATGAGTATTGATTTCAAATTATTGTTTTCTGGGGCTGGAGAGATGGCTTAGTCATTAAAGACTGGGCTCACAACCAAAAAGTAGTATTGTTTTATAAAGAATTTTGTTGTTTAGTTTTTAAGTCAGGTTGGAATATTCAATATTTGCCTCTACAGTTACTCTACTGGTGTTTGTATTATTTCTTCATATTAGTTTTGGATATGATCCACTGCCCCTTTATTTTAGCTTAAAGAATGCCTTTTAACATTTCTTATGAGTCCTCTCTACTAGAGGATATTCTCACAATCATTATTTTTCTGGTAAATGTCTTGATTTCTTCCTCATTTTCATTTGGGAGTTGTTTGTATTTTACATGGGGGTTTTCTATGCTTCCCAAACTAAATTTATACTTGTAGTTGAGACTACAAGAACAAACTTGCTCTATTTATTTGTTTTTAATTTGTTTTATTGTTTGTTTGTTCAGGGTGGTGATTTTTAGAAACTAATTTTGTATAGTCTTTTGTATTCGTTGTCATGAGGTAGCCACTGAATTCACTATTTGATTAGCTTAGAAATCATCTAATAACTGAATAGAGCTTTTCTTAACTGCCAGGGGCAAACATATCATGTATTATTTACCAGAGAACTATGTTGCTTGTTTAGCAATGATATCAGTGTGCATACAGTTTGCAATTATGGCAAATCGTTTACTCTCTGTTAGTATGAAACCTGAAGGCTAACTTAAGTGTGATATAAACAAGCCTTTAAGAAAGGATATAACATCCTTGACTCTGGGAAGTTTTCAAACTTTTCAAACTTCTTGGAGATGTCTCATTTGTAAGCATTTCTTTTTAAAATTCTTGGTCACTCTCTTCTTTCTCCAAACTGTTATCCATTGCTTTAGGCTTCAGTGTGACAAATTTTCTCCTAGCCATAGAGAGAGACTTTTAGTAAGGTGCTAAATAAAACAAGCATTTGAAGTCAGATTTTTCAAGAAATCATTAGTTAGGTCAAATAAAGATAGTATTCCTGAAATGAACTACTTACTCTTGAACCTAGAATAGGGTATTAGATTTTATTACCTCTGAGAGAAGTTGAAATGCCACAAAGCTTCATGCTATTACTAAAACTGGTCTGTTTTTCTTCCATAAACACCATAAATTCCTATGAAACAATTTCAAAATTCTGGGGAAAATAAGGATATCAAAATATTTCAGTTATGCCTTTATTTCTGTGAGGAAGTAAATTTTTAGAAGTAATTATTTCACCATTTTCATTGAAGTCACCGAATAGCACCTTCTTTGACAGAATTCTGAAGTCTTTCTCAAGGATGAATCACTATATTTTAGTTACAAGTTAGTGATTACTAAAATATATTTCCTCAACCAAGTTTTCATACCCTCTCAAGTCTGGATATAGATTCATTGAAAGTCGTTGAACCTTGTCTTATGAACTCTAACTTATAATGATTTGTGAGGAGTAATAAACAGGCAATAGAAGTTACCAGCATCATGAAGGGAGGGTTGAGAGATCCAACTTAATTCCTAATCTTACTAGTATCTCCAACTGTTTATCTAAGGGTCCGAGATTCCTTAACAATGCTCATTTTTCCTTGCAGACTCCTCCAATCCACGTATAATCAATACTGAACCACTTCCAACCGTGCAATCCTCTTTGGAAGGTAAGTTTTACTAAGGCTTTTTTACAGAATTCTTCAAAATGTTTAGAAATCAAGGATTTGCAATTCCTTTGACTTTGGGCAAAGCAATCACTGTGTTACTCAGAAAGATCATTATAGTAAATGAATGAATACAAAAGAAACACAGCAAAGATTTAAGGGTAGTGGAAAAGTTGAATCATGAATATATACTTTTGTTTGTGAAGAAAGCATTGTATCACATTTTTCTAACCTGTTTTACTATGTGACTTTGAGCATAATACTTCTTTGTACATATTCTTTCCATTGATAACCATTTATAACAAAAAATTGAGATGTTTTGCCTCATATTACAATATAGACCAATGATATGTCTTGTTGTGGGAAATTTGATCCCACTGTGAAACCCCAAGACTGTTAATGAAATCAACCTTGGATCAGAGCTGGTGCTGGCAGGACCAGAAACCCCACCAATCCCAGTCGTGTCCTGAGCAGCAGAGTGCTGACCACAGGGCAGCAAAGCTGCAGATGGTAGTTAAAACGTCAGTAAATTCAGGTGTAGCCGCTAAGCCAACAGTAAAACAGAAGAGATCAACAGCAAAGACATTAAGTCTTTTCCACCATTCCTGACCCTCACATCCCTTCAGTGCAAGATGAGGTCTCTGGCCTGCATTCTTTGTTATTGCAGCAGTGACTAGCATGAAATCAACGTGTGACTGGACCACTACGGTGAGTGGAAAACTTGAAGAGACCACAGCTGCCTCAGTGAATGGAAAACGTGAGAGGGCCACACCTGACCCAGTGAATGAGAAAACCATTGCTGGCCCAAGTAAGAGTAACATTAATAATTCTTTCATTCTTTCTTGATTCTGAACTTTGTGACTCATAAGTTCTCTATATTCAGCTCCACAAACCATTAAGGATGAGCCCAACAGCTAAATTGGGTAGATAAGATAGAAGGGAAAGACAAAGATACAAGAATGAAAAATGTCTGATTTAGGTTAAAGAAAGTGATAAATGTGTTCTTCGTTTGTTTTCTATTGTGATAGAAATACATTTCACAAACACTGAAAAAAAAGTAGGAGTAGGACCATAAACTCAGCCATCTAACGTAAGAGGCAGGAAATGGAACAGGTAAATATCAAAGCAATCCTCCACTGCTTTAATTCCTGACTACGAGTTTGGCAGCAGCTCACAGCTAATTTTTATTCCACCAAAGTCCCAACCATTTGAAAATCAGGAACCCAGGGATTAAAATCTCAAAGAGAAAATACTCTGTATTATTTCATCACAATCTTCTAGTCAGCTAATGTGCACTGACATGCCTAAATTGATTCTTAAAATAATAAACTTCTTTCACGTTGATTATTAGCTGCTACACTTAAACAATAACATTCCCAGTTTCACTTGGGCTGCTATAGGACATCCACCAGAACTCTCCAGATTATTTCATGGTCTTGAAACGAGTTGTTAATTCCAGATATCCCACAGAACATCTATGACTCCAAGTATCCATCAAATATCTGTTTTGATTATTCAGTGTGAAATAGTTTGATAACTATTTCTCATTGTTTTGTGCTCTTACTTGGTATCATTGAAGGCACACTTCTTTTTATGAATCTAGGAATTGAATCAGTGATCTCAAACATGCTACATAAATGCTCTACTAATAAATAAAATAAAAAGCACAGCAAAAATCATTATGAGTAGGTAAGACCAGGCAGAAGAATGAATTTCAAGGATGGGAGACAAGATAAAGAAAATAATACATAAAGAAATACATAAAGAAAATATTAATGAATACAACTAAAATTAAGGAACACAACTTGAGAAGTAATGGATACATTCAGGAGACCAAAACTAATAATAGCCCATACAGTTGAAGAAGGAGCAGAGATTAAGTCAAAATCCTTACACAATATATCCAATGAAATTATGGCCAAGAATTTTCCAAATTTAGAGAAAAATACACATCCAAACAAAGTACTAACTAAAATGATGTACAGGGAAAATGCCAACTCACAGACAGAGGCAAAAATGTCCACATAACATCAAATTATTTGTCAGCTGTTAAGGGTTATCGTGTGCGCTCAAGGATGAACTATAGTCCGTGATGGTAAGACTTTATTCAGGTAAACACCAGTCCAAAACGCAAGCCAGAGCGAGCTCACAGGAAGCAAGCTAGCGCAGCCAGAGAGAAGGCCATGGTCTCCATGTGCAGCCCTTAAGAACCTGACCTTATGTCACCCCGACTTCCCTTCACCCCGCCTTCATGCGCGGGTCCAGGTACACCTGGCACATGTCCGGGTTGCCTGGGGCGGGGCTAGGGTGTCTCCCTACAGTCAGCAACACTAAAATCCAAGAAATCATGCAATGATATATTTCAAGCTCTGAAAATATTCATTGTCAACTGAGATTGGTATTTTCAGCAAAGTTATATCTTAGGATTAATTGAGAATAGGAGCCACTGAAACCAGGAAATGGGTGACAGGGCAGTCCCTATATGAACAGTCTGAGGGGGCAAAATGCCCAAGAGCACATTGTGTTATGCTGTGAAAATGAATCCTGAATTGTGTTGGATACTCCAAAGTGTGGATGATTCTAGAGTCATGAAACATATGGCAAGGAGAACTGCAGATAGGGAGTGGTAACAGCCCAAGAAAGAGGTACCTGTTGCAGGCAACAAGGCAGGAGTGGCAGAGTCATATAACCAACCACCATGGCACCAGAAATGAGACTACATGAGTTGATGTCTGCCCTGCTAGTCTCTCTTTGGTCCATTATTTCCTTACTCTCCCCCCATTTCTCCCTTTTGGAATGGTAATGTGTATTCTTTGCCATTTGATGTTAGAAGTATGTGATCTGCTTTTTGATTTTGCAGGAGGCTACAGATAAGAAATTTACTGGGGTCTCAGAAGAGACATTGGACTTTTAAATAGTTTTGAGACTATCACAGATTGTGAGGACTTTTGAAGTTTGTCTAAGGGCATTTTGTATTATCACGTAGCCATAAACATATCAAGGTCAAAGAGTGGAATGTGATGACTTGAATGTCAGTGTCCCTATAGGTTTATTGAGTTTTGAGTCCCCAGTTGGTGGCACTATTTAGAGATAGAATGGTTTTTCTGGAGGAAGTACATCACTGGGGTTGCCCTTTGAGAGTTTATAGTATCAACCCAGTTCCAGATTCCTTTCACTGCACTATGTTTGATGTTGAGGAATGTGATTGAACTCTCAGCTTCCTGCTTCTGTTGCCCTGCCCATGATTCTTGCTATGCTTCCCTGCCACGACACACTTTTATCCATCTGGGACCATAAACTTCTTGTTCTTTAAGTTGCCTTTAGTCATGGTGTTTTATCACAGCAATAGATAAGTAACTACTACAATAAAGCATAGGTGTTTAGAAACTAATCTATTTCTTAGTCTTCTGGGTTTTAAAAATACATTTTAAAGTATTTTCTAACAATCCTTCTGATTTTATTGAAGTCTATTTTAACAATTCCCCTTTCATCTTTAATTTCAATAATTTGAGGCTTCTTTCTCTTTTTTGGTTATTTTAACTGGAGTATTTTTTCATCTTAATCTATTTAAAGAAACAAGTATTTGGTTAATGTTGTGTATTTTTCTTCCAGTCAGTGTTTCATTTATTTCAATTCCTAACCTTTATTATGTCTTGTTATATACTGGATTTGGGATTGACCTCTTTTCTCCCTGGAGCCTTGAGGTGTGTATTAATTACTTTTCTAATATATGATGAAACACCATGACCAAAGTAACCTACAGAAGGAAGAGGATACTTTGATATTACAGTTTGAAAGGGTTACAGTCCATGATGGTGGAGTGAAGCAGGTGGCAGGTGTCACACAGTTGAGAGCACATAAGTCCAACTACAAACAAGAAGCCAAGAGAATAAATTTGGGGTGGGGTAGCACATGGCTTTTGAAACCTCAAATTCCACCCCTAGTGATATACTTCCTCCAACAAGACCATCCCTCATAATACTCCTCAAACAGCAATCAACTGGGGATCAAGTATTATAAATTCCAAGACTCATGGGGGACACCTCACTCAAGCCACTACATTCTGCTCCCTAGCCTTAATAGTCTGTTGGTCACATCATAACGCACAATTCATTTAGTCCAACTTCCAAAGTCCCCATAGTCTTGCACAGTCAGAATATTATTTAAAAAGTCCAAAGTCTCTTCTGATTAAATTTATCCTTATGATTACATTGACCCCATCAGAAACATTACAATTAAGATACTCTATTAATTGTAATTCCCTGTAAAATCAAAAAGCAATTGTATCTAACATATAATAACTTATAATATACATTACTATTATAAAAGTGAGATATGTGGCATAGTAAGGAAATACTAGACTAAAGCAAGACTGAAACCCAGAAGGACAAAGTCTCAAATCCTCTAGTCCATAGCTCCATGTCTGATGTCAGAAGGCTTACATGGCTCTACCCCTCCAATTTTGCTGCCCACAACACCATTCCCTGTCAGGCTGTTTCCTCTCCCTTTCTACAGTGGTCTTTCAGGACCACTTTGACCTCTCAGAACTTTCATGGATGGATTTTCTTGCCTCACTTTGCCTGACCTTAAAGGCTATTTGAAACCACAGGGGAAAAATTCATGACCCACTAACTTTTGCATCCTTCATTCCTCCAAAGTCAATTCCATGTGGACAGTGCTGCCAAGTTTGACTGTCAATTTAGTTTTATTATCTCTATAGATATAGAGAAGGCATTTTATAAAGTTCAAAACAGCTTCTTAATAAAAGTTCAGAGAAAATGGGGAGTATATGGGACATACCTCAACACAATTAAATGCTACATATGAACAGTCGGCAGCCAACATTATATTAAGTTAAAAAATGAAGAGCATTCTAAAATATGAAATGAGATAAAGGTATGTATCACCTCCAGTTTTATTAAATATAGTGTTCAAAGCCAGATGGGGGTGGCACACACCTTTAATCCCAGCACTTGGAAGGCAAAAGCAGGCAGATCTCTGTGAGTTTGAGGCCAGCCTAGTCTACAGAGCAAGTTCTGGGACAGCCTCCAGAGCTACAGAGAAGCCCTGTCTCAAAAAATAATAAAGTTTCAGGATACATAATCAGCATATAAAATCAATATTTTATATATGCAACAATGAACTTTCTGAACACAAAATGAGAAAAAATATCCCATTCACACTCCTGGGCATATACCAAAAGACTCTACATCCAATCATGAACGTATTTACATATCCATGTTTGCTGTCGCTCTGTTTACAACAAGAAACAAAATCAGCCTATATAACCACCAACAGATGAATGGAAAAGGAAAATACATTAAATACATCAAAGGAATTTTACTCAGCCACAAAGAAAAAAATGAAATGTGAGAAAAATATATGGAACTGGAAAATATGTTAACTATAGTAATCTAGGTTCAATAACATAAATGTTAAATGTTTTTCTCATATGTAGATTCTATCTCCTAATTTTTATGCATGTGCATCTTTGTAAGGATGAGTAAGATATAAGCCAATAAACTAGAAAGAAGCCAATGAGAAGAAAAAAGAAGTAGTGTGTATGTTTGTTTATTTCTTTAGTATAATGTACACGTGTGTTCACATGCTTGCCTGTGTGTGCTCATGTGGAGACCAAAGGTCATCTTTAGATGTTTTCTATTGTTCTCTGCCTTATTTTTTGAGACAGTGTCTCTCATGGGCCTGGAGCTTACTACCTTAACTTGACTGGCTGGCCAACAAGACCAGAGGATTCACCTGTCTCTGTCCCTGAACACTGGTGACAGATTCTCATGACTGTGTCTGATTTTTATGTCGGTAAAGGGGATGTGAACTCTGGCTTTGTTTATACACCAAATTTGTTAGCCACTGAGCCATCTACCTAACCATCCCTCTAAAACAAAACAAAAGAACTAGTTTTAAGGAGGGAGGCAAGGAGAGAAATACAACACATGTGACATAAAATGGTAACTACAGGAAGGAGAAGGATACAAGTGGCAGGAAGGCAGAATGCAGTGGGGGAGAGAAAAATCAATCAAAACAAAGTATGATGAATATGTTATTTTGAGTGCTAATTATAATTAAATGAAAGTCGATAAGAGAAGTGCATCGCCTATCATTCAAATGTGTCATTGAAATTATGAGGAAATTAAAGTCCAGTAACAGATAATGATTTGACTAACTTCACCATTTTAACTTTTCTGTGACTAACATAAAAACTTACCTCAATTTTTGTATATTAAAATGGCATATGTGTATTATCTTATACTTAATGGAAAAGTCTAATATAGTTACTAGTGAGATAAAATCAGGTGCCAATAGTGCTGCAGTCCTTCTGGAAGCTTTGTAGAAGAAGCCATTCCCTGATACTTTCCACTATGTATAAGCTACCCACATTCTTTAGCTCATGACTTCTTTCATCTCTTTTCAAAATTAGCAATGTAATGGGTTCAAATCTCCCTCTGACACTTACCTTCTCCCTTATCTCCTGCCTTCATTATTAAATTGATCCTTATGATTACATTGAGCCCATCAGAAACATTAATGATACTCTCCCTGTTTTAACCACAGACAACTATCAGTCTTAATTCTGCCTTTAACCTTAACTCTTCTTTGTATTACATAAAATTCTAGAAATCCATTAGCAAGCATCTTTAGAGGGAGAACCATTATCTGACCCCTATGGCCATACGGCAAATAAATAAGACTGAGGACTGGAATCTTTGTACAGTGTATTCCTTCAACTATTTGTGTACCTGTATTTGTTACTTATCTTGTTTCTGCAACAAAATACCTGACAAAAGCAACTTAAGGAAGGAAAGGTTTGTTTGGGCTCATAGCTCAAGGGTACACTTGATCATGGCAAGGAAGTCGTAGCAGATAATCACATCCTATCTACAACCAGAAAGCAGAGAATGCTCTGCTTGCTTTCTCTTGTTTATTCTGTTCATGATGCCAGCCCATGGAAGCATGGTGCCCATAGTTAAGGTAAGCTAGAGGCTTGTCTCCTAGAAGCATCTAGATCCTTTTAGGTTGACAGTATTAACTCTCAAGGTACACTAGATTTCTGAATGGAAATATTTTTGAGGAAAGAGGAACTGGGAACTTGAGCCAAAGAGTACTATAGGGAAAAGAGTCTTTATGACTTAAAGTAAGTTACCAGAATCTCTTGAATATAGCAATTCTGAATAGCTGATGAGTCAGAATGCCAATTTTTTTATCTTAAGGAAAAGTGAAAGCCTCCTGTCTTGGCCCCATGGAAATCTGGCTGTGGCCACAAAGAGCAATCAACCAGTGGGACTATGAGAATTTGTTTTGACATTGTATCTCTGACATTTATAAAGATTTTCTTAAGAATGTGGGATTTTACTTTTCTCTCTGGCAAGCTCAGAACCTCAAGATGCTCTAGGCTGATACTTAGAGTTTCTGATTTGATCTTTTATTCCCAAAGCCAATTTTTGTTTATTTGTCTGCTCTTTAAAAATTTAGCAAAGTTTTTACTGAAACATAGCATATGAATAATGTATAGGTAAATTAATATTTAAAAATCTAAAAAATGTGCACACTTCACAACCACATTACCTGCTGTCTAATCCACACCAAATGATTTATTTTCCTAGTCACTATTGCCATGTCTTATTTTAAGCTGTTTTGTACTCTTATAAAGGAATAAAATAATGTATTTTGTAGCCAGTTTCTTTTACTCAGTGTGTTAATCAGAGTCAGTGGTGGTTTCATATGAATATGTACATATGTTATATGCAAATATATTTACATTGCTAGATAACTGGTTAGTATTATGTATGTGTGTGTATATGTGTGTGTTTAACAATGAATTTATTTTATTCTTGAATGTTAACTGAAAAATTTCCCATTTGAGCCATTATTAATAATTCTTGGATAAACAATATTTCATCATTGGCACACGTAGCACTAGCTGTACAGGAACCTACCACATGCACCAGCTTGACCTCAGGCTCTCAAAGATCTGCTGGCCTCTGCCTCCCAAACGCCTGGATTAAGGTATATACCACCATTCCCAATCTTGTCTTTTAAAAAGAATATTATGTAAACATTCAATACTTTTATTATAACTTCTTGATTCAGGAGAATTTCATACATATATAAAATGATAAATGATAATGTATAAAATGAAATATGATCATATCTGCCTCTTATTTCTCTCTTCCAATCCCAACCATATATTCTGCAAACTGACCCCTCCTAACTGCATGTCTTCATTGAAGATAACCCACTTATGGTTAGTACCACCCAGATGTACATGAGTTTGGGTCCATCCACTGGCATATAGGAAACCTCTCAGTGGGAACATGCTAAAAACAGAATGAATCTCTCTCCTCCAGAAGCTATCTTCAGTAAGAAGTAGGACCTTTTACCATCTATGCAATAACTTTTGGCTTGCTCATACATCAGTCTTAGCAGATAACTGTAGCTACTATAGTACTATTAATTCATTAATTCAGTAGCTCTGTCATGTCCAGAAAACAGCATTTCACAGCACTCTTTCTCATTGCCTGCTCTTAATCTTCCTGTTCTCTCTTTCATGATGTTCTTTGAGCCTCCCACCCTCTCCAGTGTGTGTGTGTGTGTGTGTGTGTGTTAAAGATGTACCATTTAGAAATGAGCTGGTGAGATGGCTCAGAGGTTAAGAGCAGTGGCTGCTCTTCTAGAGGACCCAAGTTCAATTCCAAGCACCCATATGGCAGCTCTAAACTGTCTGTTACTCCAATTCCAGGGGATCCAACACCCTCACATAGACATAAAGCAAGCAAAATATCAAATCACATGAAATAAAAAATAGAAATGAGCCCTCAGTCTCTTCTCAGCACTTTCACCAATTATGTATTTCTGCATTGATTGCTGTCAAATGCAAAATAAGCTTCTTAGTCCAGTACTGAGAGAAGACTAGTTTTATGGGTATAATGTTCAGATAGAAAATTGAATATTTAGAAAAATAAAACCAGCAAGTTCTACTCTAGAGTCTATGATACTCATCACTATCCCCCTGGCAAAACATGGACTTTTGACCAGGATTACAGTACCAGGCATGATATTCCCTCCTGTGGAGCAGCCCTCAGTTCCAATCAGAAAGCTCTTAGTTTTCCTATACTGGTCTTGCTACTATCATGCCATGGTCACATGTTGCCTGGTATGTTGGCATTGTAGTGAGCAAGGTCCAACAGTGGGTAAGGCCTTAGACTGACATCATTTTTTACCAAATACCACTTAGTCTCATTTTATCTTTTAGGAAAGAACCTGACAATCTCTGCCATCATCTGCATCGCCGCCCTTTGCTGCATAGCGGTTGTCACCATGGCTTATGTCATGTTCTGCTGCAAAACATTCCAACAAGGTGAGTGATGAGTAGGGATGGTTAGCTTTTGTTTATTCACCCTTTCCAACAGTATACATTCTCCATGAGGCAGTATGTCTAACATTCCAATGATCTTGAAGACTACTTTTAGAGTAATGGTAGAACTAAAATGAGACAGATATTTATTGTCTCTGCAAATAATGTGGTAAGACTTATGAAACAGAATATAAAAATTCAGGGTACCCAGCCAAGAGTTACTATCTTTGTAATGAATCATTTTACAAGAATGGAAGAGAAGCTGTCCTCAAGTTGCTTGCAATTTATGTGAGGATTGCCAATTTGCAACATAGAATTTATCAACCTCGTATATTGCAGAAAGATTAATGATCCAAAATGTAGAGGAGACAATATTGACCAAACACTGAAGAGAAGAGAGTAAGAGCTGGAATAATCACTTTCAAATGGTATAACTTGGTCTGAGTCATACTGAGTGAAGGCAATATGTGAAGAGACAGTATTCCGGGCAAGTGCAACAAAGTAAGCAGAAGTATAAAAGCCTAAACTGCAAATGCAGGTGGATCATCACAAAGAAAAATGCAATTAGATAAATGATAATGAAATACAGGCAAGAATGAAGTTTCCTTGCTAACCATAGCAGGTTTTGAATTCCAGTCCAAAGAATTTCTTCACCAGGCCTTGCCATGGCCCTAAGATTAACCAAATTGTTTGGATTAGGGAAGTAGCATAGTGAAGAAGCTATTTACCGAGTATGGAAAACACAAATTTGAGGAGGATTGGGATGTTTGCTTCTAAGAAAACCTTTGTTATAATTCAGTACCCCTGCACTAGTCATTTTGCCTAGAGTTATCTTGTCTATGTTTCTGTAGCATCTTCAACTCATAAACAAGTAACCAATGATGTTGGCCAGTTACCATGACTGTGATCCACCAGGATGATCTTGGGAGTGGAAATTCCTCAAATACCACCTCCATTTGAAGGAAACCATTCACCATAGTCTTGTTGAGGCTAAGACACTATATATTGTTTGCTTTTTAAAATATCCCCAAATATTTCATAGTTACTAGTAACTCAAGGGAATAAGAAGTCACATTTTATCATTCTTTTTAAGACCCTCGTTGGTGTGGGTCTAGCCCTATTTTCTTCCTGTCCACTCATCCCCTTTACTTACTCTCATTTATAATCACTAAATGCAGACAAGCAACTAAAGCTTTCAGGACATATCTTCATGTTTTGTTTCTTTTTACCCTTCTTAGTTTGCCTCCCCAGAATTCCTGCTTTCTGTTTGTCTTTAAGAAAGACAGCTCTAGAGCAGTACTCTGTACTCAATTTACTCTGTAGTTACTGAACATAGTTTGTATTCCAGATACTGTGTATATAAAGATAACAAACAAACAAACAAACAAAAGATCCCAGAATTGGAAGTAAAGAAGCTCCCACTCCAGTGGGGGAGATAAAACATGGAAATGTGGGTGTCTACAAAACAAAACTTCTGTAGTTTGCATTATTATCTTTCTTGTAATTTAGTTCATGAATTTCCAGTTGCTACCCTGAAAGACAATAAGCACCTAGAAGGAAGAGTGCTATTTCAAGAAATACCCATCTTTGTGCCAGGCTAATCCTCTGGAATAGAGGACAATTCTCCTCCAAAGACACTAGGGGGCAATGATTATCTAGACGGGGTCCTTTTAGTTTTAAGATTTTTAAGTAATTATATTTTATTAATTCAACAAAAAGCCAACTTTTCCGTATATGATATAAACCCGCCCCCACACCAAGCAATATCTTCAGCCTGATGTGCTGAGACACAAATGGTAAAGGGGATGGAGATCAAGCATGTGTACCTTCCACTTCTCTGACAAATCTATATCCCTGTATTTCAACTCATGAAAATATATCTCAATATTAGAAAGCTGGTATCTTGAATTCGCTTCTACCCCCCCCCCCCCGGTTTTGGACTAGTACTGAGGTTTTATGCTTAGTTCTTATCTACCCTCCAAATAAATTTCTAACCTGATTCTTCCTTGTTTTCTAGAGCATGTCTATGAAGTGAGCAGGTAAGATACCATCTCCTTTTGTAACTTATTAACCATTCCATGCCATAAATTCTATTGATTATTGGGCGAAAAACTTGGAGACTAGTCCTAATGGACTCTCTCGGGGTCAGAAAATATTTTACCCTCTCAGATGATTGTTTTCATGTTGTGTCCTGGATCAATGAATGCACAAGATGATTTAGTTTAGGAATACCAACTTTCTGTGCCCACAATCCTTGTCTAGCAGGATCCTGGGAGCCAGTGAATAAGAACTTAGGAGACAGGATGCTAGAAAACAGGATTGAGGACCAAGGTCTTTCTCATGAGTAACTGGGTCTTGGTCCATAGGGTGTGTGCCAGGGAAACCAGCAACTCTGAAGAAACAACCTTCGCAAATGGGTACTTCAATGTTGCACCAGATTCCCATGCTCTGGTCAATGAGTATTCTGATGAGCCCTGCCTGGAACAGGAGTACCAAACCACCATCCAGTTCAACAATGACTATTCCTGCCTGCTGCACACAGTTCCCAGAAACTCTGAAGTACTTGCTACTGAAGACAATAGCATCTGCTAAAATGTCCCACTAAGTGAAGGTCTACTAACATAATTGCCTATGACTTAATCTATTCTTGCCTTCAGTGTAGCTTTCTTTCTTGCTTCCTTTATTCCTAGATAACCTAAAGTATCAACTCTGACAGTGTTGGGGCCACCAGGAAATCCTGGTTTGGCTAAGAATTTACTTATACACCTCAAGAAATCTTGCTTCTGGGTTTAGCCTTGGACCCTTCTATGTTCTAGCCTAGGGCCTCCACAACTCCTGTGCAAACACCAGAGAAATTCCCATAGCATTAGAGTTTTTTCTTCATGTCTCAAGGCATCACCAGAAAATCAGATGAGGCTCAGTCTTACCAACTCAAACAATCATCTATGTCCATCATTGCATCTCTTTCTCTGTGGGGAAGGGTACTTTTGATTAATACTGCTAAATCACAGGTCAAGGTAGAGTTCTGTTCCTACACCATGAATCTAATGCTCCTGTATTGTTTTAGTGTTAATAATAATAAATGTTTAAACATGACAGCCACTACAGTTGTGTTTGTCTTCTCTCAAGACACGACAGGACCTACCAAAAATGAGACTAAATAAGATGGTAAGCATGCCTAGAAATATAGATCACTCACTTTTCTGCTCTGTGTGGTGTGTGTGTGTGTGTGTGTGTGTGTGTGTGTGTGTGTGTTACAAGAAATATAACTCAGGGTTAACCAAGTAATCTAACACTGAGCTATATTCTTATAATCTTTTTACTTTTTATTTGTATGAGATCTCATTAACTTGCACGGTCTTGCTTTTAGTTCATTCTCTAGGCTTTGAACTTCCCAGCTGCCTTAGACTTCCAAGTTGCTGGGATTATAGGCCTATAACACTAGGCCAAGCTATACCTTTGCTTTTCATTGCTGTCAGTTTATCTCTTGGTTACTTGGTCTTTCACATTCCAACCCATGCCATTTCCCTTCTATCTTTTCTTAAGTAATATTCTACATAATATCTATTCTCCATTCATCTTTCTTTCAGCTCTACTTGGGGACTCTTCTCAGGGCAATGGGAAGTTTGGCAAAAAGACCCGCTTCTTTCTCCAAGGACAATGAATATAAATACTTAGTAGTTCCCTTCTTTTCAAAGTATGTGCTCAGCACCACTAAAATCTTTGGGTTAGTCCACAATGTTCATTGGTCATCTTCTCTAACTCCTGAACTTGTCTTACAATGTGGAGAGGATTAAGAGTAACAGATGCAAATGAACTTTGGGAGTCCTCTCCACATAGAGGGATACTCTCTCAGCCTAGACACCTGGGAGAGGGCCTAGGCTCTGCTCCAAATGATATGACAGACTTCAGAGATTGCCCCATGGAAATCCTCACCCTCCCTGAGGAGCAGAGAGGAGATGGGATAGGGGATCAGTGGGGGGCAGGAGAGGAGGGGAGGGAGAGGGAACTGGGATTGACATGTAAAATAAGCTTGTTTCTAATTTAAATTAAAAATAAATTACAAAAAAAGAGTAACAGATTCTTTTTTAATGACAGGGAAGGAGAGGGAGAAGAGGGAAGAGGAGGGAAGGGAAAGGTGAAGGGAAGGGGAAGGGTAGCAGGAGAAGGGAAGGTGGGGAACTATATATTTAAGTACATTTGAAATGAAATCCATTGTGAAGAAATTGTTTGTGGCCAGGTTTGCCCTGCTTCTAGTTTCCCCCCATGTATTTCATGTCAAATAAACTTCCTTACTATTCATGAGAATAGTATGTTGCCTGTTTTCTGTATATGCACAGGATCAGATCAGGTTTCAACAAGAGCTGTTCCCACTTTGAAATGATTACAAAAACAAAGTAGTACACAAAAATGAACAAGTAAGAATCCTCCCCATTTCACCCCTTCTGATGTTGCCAAGCCCATGATCAAAACCTCAGCATTTTCTTCTTTGCTGAATGCTAGCTACACATAATTGGTGAGAACAACTTCTTCTTCTCTATTTCACTTATAAACCTCCACAACAGGAGCCCCACCCAGTAGAAACCTCAGCTTCCTTCATGAAACAGCTCTGAGTCCAGCCCCCCAAACCTTTGAAAACACTCATTTATCTTATTCTGCTAAAAAGGAAGAAGAAATCCCTGGGCTTGAGGGGAGAATTTTCATTGAAATTGCCCTAGTAAAAGTAATCACAAACCCAGAGAACCTTCTACACAGGAACCATCAGGGATATATCCCAGTCTTTCATCGGGAAAAGCTTAAAGATTACTGATTTAAGCACTCACATATCACAAAATTGGGAAATGAAGCCCAGAGAGAAATGGTGACTTGTCAAAAATAACATACATCAAGGCAGTGGCAGAACAAAGACTAGAAGTGAGACCCGGGAATTTTTAGCAGTGCATACATTGCTGCAGATGTCTTCTGAAGATGGCCCTTGCCCCTAAACTAAGATGCTTTTTCATGCAAGATAAGCCAGTAAGTCATTCCTACATAGAATAGCAGCCCTTAGGCTCTTCTAAGCAAAACTAGGGTGACAAGACCGGTCTTGCCATTTAGGTGGCTGGCTGGTGAGTGAAAGTATCTCCAGAACAGAGGGAAAGTATGGAATTTCTCTAGAGAAACTTCCAAAATATGTATCATGAAATGTTTGAGTCTGGAGATAGATGTTGGCAACCTTTTTCTACAGATCTGTATTAGATGTTCACTCAGTGCCACATTAGAATAATAAAGGCTCAGAAAATTCTGTTAAAAAGTTCCACTTAAGCCAGGCGTTAGTGGTCCACGCCTTTAATCCCAGCACTCAGGAGGCAGAGGCAGGTGGATCTTTGTGAGTTCGAGACCAGCCTGGTCTACAGAGTGAGTTCCAGGACAGGCTCCAAAGCTACACAGAGAAACCCTGTCTCGAAAAACAAAAAACAAAAGTTCCACATAAACAAATAATTCCAAAATTCATTTGCCCTCTGAGTCTCTTTTTTTACCCTCCTTCTCCAGCCCTAAATCTTAGTGCTCAGGAAAAAAAAATCATTTGGTTACTACTTATATACACGATAGCATTGGAATATACACAGTTTGATTTCTTTTCACAAAACCCTAGGTAATATTTGACCCCCATATCCAAAGGCAATGGACTAGTAGAACATCAATTAATTGGTAAACTTTATTAAATAAATTATATTGTTGGACAATGGTAGGAAAGACAGAAATCAAGTAAATATAATATGCTTTAGACACAGTGTAAAAGGGAATTCAAGAATATACCCTGGAAAAATTCTTTGACCATTTAGGAGGATATATTGGGTGGTAGGAAATGTAAGAACACATCCCTGTATCTAGTCAAGGAGTAAAGACAAAGTATAGGTTGACTTTCAACACTGCCCAGAGAAATTGGAACTTGCAAGGCCTGAAAGTACATGGAAGAATTGAGTGTGTGAGGAGAAGCAGGAAGAGTGCTTTAAGAAGGAAAAAAAGATAAAATGTAGGTAAGGTCAAGATGTGCTCCAAAGGCAAGAAAATGGACTTATTTCTATGTCCTACTCTCATACAAGTCATGATGCTTGTATGAAAATTCTGCTGTTCTGGCTGCAAGAAGAGAAATGTGAAAGAAAATATTAACAGACATTAATAATAAATCAAATCAAATTTCACTTCATTCCCAGTACCCTTTATGTATTTTCAATACCATTAGGCATTCCATGGAATTCTCACAGGTATGAAGATGTATCCAAGATTTATAGGCCCCAGAGCTGCACCATTCTTATTCTGAAGTCCCCTGATAAAATGTTCTAGTTCCCTCAAAGCCATAGAGTAATAAGAGAGCTTCGTGTTTCATCAACTTCTGTATATAGCCAGCAGGCTATTCATTCTGTCCTGATCCTGGAGCTGATAGGCATGAGCCACACTTGGGGTATTTGACAAACTGACACTCTACCACACAGAGTGTCTAACTCAGCTTGTCAAATACACGGAGCGTGACACTGCAGAAGGCCAGATCAGGAGCTTCCACCGGGCAGCAAGAGCATCCTGGAAGACATGCACCTGGAAAGAGAAGTAATGTGCTGATTAAGTTATACCCTGAGCTTCAGGCAAATGGCAGAGGCTCACATGACCAGCTGAAAGTCCCAAAGAAGGAAGTAAGCAAAATAGGCCTGAATCTCCAAACCAAAACAGGGATCCTGAGTGTTTTCCTGGAGACTCCAGTGGCCCAAGCCACTGGTAACTCTACTGTTCAGCTGAAACAGGATAGTTTGATTGTCATCTTGCCTACCTGATTTTAAAGACCTCAGAGACAATATCCTTGTTCCTTTCTCCTTCTGACTTCCTTCATGCTGTGTTCTTCAGCATCCCGGTTATGTAGCTAGACTTTGAGTCTTTAAAAATGGGCTTGAATTCTAGCTCTGCCATTAACTAACTGGACACCTTAGATAAATGATTTTATGTCTCTGACATCTAGTTTTTTACAGACACAAGAATGTGCTTGAAGTCATTGTGAGAATATGTGATAAAACATATAAAGCCATTAATTTAGTGTTTCTTATGTAGCAAATTCTCAAAACTTGTTATAGCCAGTTATGATAGTACATACCTGATACTAGCTTTTGTAGACAGAGGTAGGAGAACTTCAGGTTTGAGGCCAACCTGAGCTATGTAATATGACCCTATCTCAAACAAACAAAAAAGCAAGGCCTAGGGGAAAAACTCAGTGGTAGAGCATTTTATTAAGATATACAAAACTCTGGATTTGATCCACTGTATAGAAAGAAAGTGACTAAAATGTGTTTCAAAAATTAAAATAAGTATTGAAATAAATATTAACATAAAAAATGATTGACAATTTGTTTAACAGAACTGAAACAGTAATTTCTCAGGACTTTAGCCAGCTTTCTCATAAATAGTAAAAGATGAATACTATTAAAATTCCTTTATAAGTCATCTGGTTTTACCCACTCAAGATTACAAATGAGAAAATGAAGTTTGGGGAAAGACTTGATATAGGGCATACAATAAACTGTTTATAGTTTGGAGGTTATATCATGTATCATCTCATTGTATCCTCAGCTTTCCTCACCGTCACTTTTTCCTGTCTTTTTCTTATATCCGAATGCAAAAAGAGAGAGGACCAACAATACAGAGCAAAACAGGGCAGTGGATTTTGCAGGGCAGCATTAAGCTCTTTGAAGTCACAGACACTGGGGCAATAAGGAAGCTGCCAGAAGAGCCACACCTGGAACTACTTTCTAATTTTCTTTTGCATCACACAAATCCTGTTATTCAAAACTCCAGCATGCCAATATTGAATTTTGTCCTGCCCAGATGTAAATGTAGGCTTGAAAAAAGTAAACAGTTTCTACTAAGCACTGGCACAAAAAGTAGAAAACATCCCAAGACTACTAGGAAAGGAAAACTTTCCTATATGGTATTTCAATAAGAATATGCTGTTTATTTCTAAACTCTTAGCTGAATGTAAGAGGTTAACACATCACTCCAATTTGATAATTTAAAAGCTAAAGATCAAAATTGTCTTTTCTACTCCCTAACTTTTCTCTCCGTCTCACAAT